ATATGTTTTGAAAACTTTTCAAAACCTTGCTCTTTGATAAAACTACATCATGAGGTGAAAGGGAAGAAGACAGTTGGGTCTTGTAGTGAAAAATTATGATAAAATTTGGGAGGCTCCTTTCGTATAAAACAAAACAAAAAAATAACCACCCCACCCGGATTCGAACTTAAGCCGATTGAATGGTAAACGGACTTTTTGTCCATTGTACTAATTGACAACAACGTGAGTATAGACGGGATTCTTTTACGTCTAAATTACTTCAACCAAAGAAGCGATTACATTGAGAGCCTCCATCTCAGGGTTGTTACAGTCTGTGTAGAGAATGGTTCTTGTTCCTGATAGTGCAATATAATGGCAGGCAAATGGCACGCAGAGAAAAAAAGAGAACTGTTGGGATAGAAATCATATCTGGGTAATTATGCGTTGAACGCATTTTGTCCCACCCTTGCAGTAGTTTACCTGTAAAATTGATGGGGTATCAAGACAGAAAGATTTGCAAGAGAAATTTAATGTGCCGTTGACTTGTCATTCCTTTGTGAGTATTATTCGGAAAGCATTTGTTTTCATCGAACCTACGGTCAGCGTCAAAATTAGTTGACACATCAAGTTTGAAAAGTTCCTTTTCGTGTGTGGAATCACCCTCTGTTTCTACCACACTCTAAATCATTGGCAAGACCCCCCTCCGCCATTAACCATTTAACTCCCAAGATCTGATTGTTAATTCTCCCCTCAAGCTGCTACACACATCCTTGTAAATTAGTTATGAGAATTTGGTGTAAGATCAAGATAACTTTTACCTGATAATTTTGAATATTCTCATCAGCTGTTTGCTGGATAATGTAAGGATGTTATAGAGAGAAGTTTTCATGTTGATCACTTTTGAAAGTTAAAGGGTTAAGAATTGTCTGTATGTAGCTAAGGGAAGGGGGGAGGGGGGGGAGGGAACGAATAGGGTAACTTAACAAGGGCAAAGGAGATAAAACTCAAGTAAAAGCGGGTTGAAAGGATCAATATGTCAACAGCGTTGTCACCGAATTTAAGTTTTCTGTTGGAAGGCTAACGAAATAAAACGTCAGTTTTTACGTTCACGTTAAACGTAGCATTAAATCGATCTCATATCACGGTATGCACAGCATGCCCAACAAATATTCTGTTATTTGTGGTAAGCCACTCAGGCGATCGACTAGGAAATTGTCCCTGCTCCTCTCCCGTCTTAATAATATATCACGGCACGCATTACTCACTCATCAACACCGCACGCAACTTTTTTTCAAAACTGTTCGCTGATCATGTGCAGGTAGTATGTCATACTCATGACATACAACGGCGTGATCATGTGACGAGTAGGAGGGAGAGATGACCCTTGGAATGAGAGTTGAGGGTGACCTTGAGGTATCATATGACTTCATCAACGGGAAATGTTAAGTGGAAAGCTCTGAAGGAAATCGATCAAGTCGCTCGAGAGTCATCTCGCCCAAAATCATGTCGCCTGAAACCTAAGTCATGTTGTAGTGTCGCCCAAAAAAAAGTCAAGTCGCCCAAAAAAAAGTCAAGTCGCCCGAAGAACCATATACTAAAAAGATCAGAATTTCAGACTGTAAATAGGCGATAAAGTTGAGACATTCTTATCACTAAAGCGCTCTTTGTTTCCGACTACACCATGAAGATTCTAAAAACGTTGTTCTTTCCTAACGACAAAGGGAAACGTTGTTCGTTTCTAACAACAAATGAAGCGTTGTTCGTTTAGTATGTACTCGTTTCTTACTCACGGACGTTTCGTAAGCTTGAGAAACTTTATCTCAGTTTCTAACAATCCCATGAAGACTTTGACTACACAGAAATCGATCGTATGGTCGGAATTGAAATATGTTTGAGTAACGATCCTAAAAGCGTTGTTCGTTTCTAACAACAAAGGGAAGCGCTCTTCGTTTGGTATGTACTCGTTTCTTATTCACGGACATTTCGTATGCTTGAGAAACTTTTTATTGGTTTTTAACAATACCATGAAGACTTAGACGACACAGAAATCGATTGTATGGTCAGAATTTAAATATGTTTGAGTAACAACTCTCAAAGCGTTGTTTGTTTCTAACAACAAAGGGAAGCGTTGTTCGTTTCTTCAACAACAAATGCACGGATGCAGCGTAACATACAAGTAAAGTTCTGTTGTGTCTATTTGTGACTTTCTTAACAACAACAGATTAAAAAACGTGGTAAACGAATGCACCCGTGCATTTGTTGTTAACTACAATTTAGTTCCTCAAGAAATGAATGTAACATTTTCCAGGAAACGGAGACATACAAGAACTGCGGGTATTGAGTGAAGTTACAACACAATCGTTGTAGTAGCGTTTCACTGTTCATGCAGTTGACCGGAGAAGAGTCGCGCAGTAGAGTCTCATTACGCTGCGTGACATACCAAACGGAGTCGCTGGGATCATATTCTTAACGCTTTCATTCCTAAGATCTCTTTAGTAGTTCTCCTTACTGTCCGCCATACAATAGGTATGATGCTAGGTCGGAGAATTTAATATTGGATCAACTGGTAACCTTAGGTGATATTTTTCTCTATTCTCTTCACTTCTACTTGATATTGTAAGGAGAAATTCTGTCCTGGTCACTCATGGGAGTTAAAAGGTTAAAAACTATCAATAGGCCATTTCTTATTGCACTTAGTTGTCAGGCCTTTGATTTTGAGTGAGGCTGAAAGTAACCTTATCGTGATAGAGACCAGTATCTAGTTTGCATGATAACAAAGTAATTTTTAATAGAAAAGCAGCAAGGTTTGCAGTAAGGTCACCCTTACTCTCGCTTCTGTTCAAATGCTTGCCAACTAAGCACATAACTGTAAAATGGACTATTACAGGAAGTTGTCCTTCTTTACAGCTGTCTAGTTGGTTTCATACAAAAATGTCAAAAAGAGGAAACAACAACAACAACAACAACAACAACTCACAAATCATGAACAATTAACAAATAAGTGAAAAAAAAAAAGGAAAAAAAAAGCTCTTACAGTTTTGATCTACTGACCTTTATTGCTTTGAGAAATCAAACAATTCAACATAACTTATTAAGTCCACCCTTCTGCTGGATAAATTAAGTCCCCGATGTCAAGAAACGCAATAATATGAAAATACAATCTGCTGAATCCTTGATGAGGATTCAAGTAAGTTTATGTTACAAGTTATAAAATGCTGTTCCGTCAACCCTCATTGTTTATTTACACTATACAGATAACAAAATAGCCTACTGTATATACATAGATCTATGTTACAATATGATAAAGATAACTGCTCCTCTTATGTTACAAATAGAATACTTAGGAATTTCCCAGGAGTCTACATATTAAATTGATTTTTAAATTCCAGATGCTTTAAACATTATAAAAGAACAATACAAATACAAAAGGAAATATCAGAGTTCCTTAGCCCTTATTGGCAAAACAACACCAATACTTGAGAATTAAATCCAAATGTTATCACTCTGGAATAGAACACACCAGTGCACTCTTAGAATTGAAATTATGACACAAGTCTGCCTGCAGATCTTTGGACTACCAATGTAAACCCGTAGTTGTAAACACAAACAAAGCAATCGTTTAGCAAATAGAACTCCACAATCCTTAAACAAACAAAGTTTTGATCCATTTCCTCCACTCCAATTTTATTTACAATGGGAGATAAGATGCCCTAAAATGTCTATCCCTCAATACAATGAAGTCACATCTCAACTGAGATAAATTCTATGTATAGTCATGAAAGAAACCAACAAACGACTTCCTCAATTACTTTTTGAAACTTCTAAACCCAGAATGTGTGAACCCAAATTCCTTCTCTACTTAACTTTCAGTTTCATGAACAGTAAACATTCAGATAAGGGCACCTTTCTTGTCAACCAATGTTATAAATATAATCCCTAATCAACTACTGTCCCTTATATCATAAGACTTTCGTGTCTTTTCAGCTCCTATAAGGAGCAGTGAATCTCTACTTAAAAAAGAACATTAAATACCAAATACCAGATATAAAATATTATGCTATAGCTGCAAAGCCCTTGTATTTATGCAATACAATGGATCTTATTATTTCAGAAAGTGTATGATAAAATATCAATAAATCAGGCGCCAAAATTTTTTGTGGTTGATATTCAGAGGCCATACTAATAATACCTGCAGTAGAAAAAGCTACTTTGAAATAATTTGAGTCTTGAACCCTTTCAAGAACCCTCTTTTGTACCAGATACCTGACTGTTTGTTTAAACAAGTATCAAGTACAAAGGTTACATTAAGTTTCCTTTAGGAGTTGAAGTATGAATCGTTGTGTGACCCTACAATGCAATTACCGGTAAGAGCCAAGAGGAGCAGTTCTAATTATTACCCACTTCTTAAATTACATGGAACACTAACTTAAACAATTTTGTTTCACTCTTGTACCTCACATTGGCCAACTGATGATTATGGACACTGCTGTTGTCAATTTGAACTGCTTTTAAATAGCCGATTCTATTTTTATACCGTTTTCAGCAATACATGCACAGCTACATCTACATGGACTATCTTTGAGAATGTTATCTTTGGTAAGTAATTGGCAAGTGGACTTGATAAACAATTCCAGCACACCTGAACATCTATGAGTTACACATATTACCCAATAACACTCAGGGACGGAACATACATTTTAAAATCATTGTTTTGTTGAAGATTGGTTGAAAGGGTGCATGGAAAAAAAGACCCACAGTGACATCTGTTAAACTGCTTGATTTTCCTTTCAAATTGTTGTGTGTTTCTATGTGAAAGTCAGTGAGAGGTCATCGTTGAATCAAAAGTCAAGTGAAGCTTAACTCCATGCACCCTTCAATTAGCTGTTTTTTTCAAGTTAGGATGTGTAAAGGATGCACTCCAGCTTTCCTAGACTTTAATTTACTTTACTGTCATCATAATTGTTTTATAAAATTGTCTTTGGACAATTACTTAGTCCTTCAAAAGCTGTACATGTATAATTTAAACAGCATTTCAGTCATAGTCCATACCATGTAAAAAACACATTTCACATGTACATGTACAGTTTGCTGATAAAGCACTCAACAAGCATTTTCCACCAATCAAAACAATGATCTATCCTCTGCACTAAAAAATTAATGCAAATAAACCAGTAAGCTAATATCTGAATCCCAAAACATATTTCAATCATTTGTATGTACCCAAAAAAACAAGCACTTTTCTCGCAAATGCAAAGCATACTTCCCATACTTTGATTATACAACAGAAACTTTTTAATAAGTTTCTAGAGTGTTTACCTTGACCATATGGATAGATTCTAAACATCACACCAAACATGTGTTGCATGCCTGGTGCTTGTTCACAAAAAAATCATCACTTTGTTTTATATTTTACACGTAAAGAGTGAAAAGAACGCTTTCTTGATAAAGCTTACTACTTTGTCAGTATCAAAGCCATTCCTGATTATTAAGTTTTCAAGACTTTGAATGAAAATTGTCACAAGAAGGTGTCCTCTGCCATCAGTAAGACACCATTAACACAATGGCCAAAAAGGAAAGCTAGTGAATAAAAGAAGCACGAAGCCGATACAGCAATCAATGCAGTACACATTACAGACAATGTGGAATGCAGAAGTGTCTGTACGAACATTACACTATCTCTTCACAGCAAAAACCAGAATAGGATGCAAATCAAGGCATTTCTGGATTTTAGAGCATCTAAAGATAATGAAGGCACTCTTAACCTGGTGCACAAATCACAAGAGAAAGTACATGTATGTGTTATTATAAGCTGCTGATCAAGGTAACACGACTGAGTCCTAATATTTGATTTAAGCTGTTACGAAGTAACTCATCAATGTAAATACCATTCAAGCTTAACAAAACACAACTATAACTACTAATTAACAACAGACAGTTCACCATGCACCCCTGGATCAAGTATCCATGCATCTCTAATTTCCGATCCCCAGATCAGTTTAGAAACACAGGGAAAGGTCCTCCAGTTTTCCAAGTGATGGGTTCTCCCTTGCTGTGGCTTTCAGAACTGAATACACAAAATCTGAAGTATGACCAGCAATTACTTGGTTCCCTGGGTAGAGAAAGAGAATCATTTACTGAATCATGATTGTTATGCTAAAATAGATCTAATTTCACATACAAAAGATACTAACATTATTCTCTTCTGAATGTTCTCCATGCAAGAAAAACAAATAACCAGAGAAGAAAATAATTTTTAAAAGGGAGCTGGCAGAGCATTCAAAGGAATCAATTTAAAAACAGACTACAAGACTGAATGTAACCAAGCCACTAGTTGGCTAGGGGAATGTAGTAACTTCTGGGATGAAATGTGAGGGGGCTGTGCCATAACAAATCTAGAGTTCCCCACCTTGCAACCTGTGAGAAATGAAAGACGAAAATATTCCCTATCTTACATACAATAGAAAACTCTTTCTGTTACAGTATTGAAAAAGATAAATATTGGTTAACTCTACAGCTACAGCAATCTTGCAAAAATGAAGACAAATATGTTTGCCTAGCCAGTGCTGCAAACTGCTCCTGTATCACAACTTGTCTTTAAGACTGTCCAAGTAATGCAGGGCGTGAAATTGTGCCTATTACAGGTACCAATGCAACTTAATTTTTTTTTCCAAATCCTGAAAATTGGTCGCCAAATCGGTGACTAGAATGTTTCATCATAACCTTACCTAGAGATATAGTGAATTAAGAAGATTTGCAAAGATAAATCAGCAGCAAACTTCCTCGTTAAGTTTGTTTCCAAAATGCAGCACATGCATCTTGATCTTGGATTTAGGTGAGCTTGAATATTGTATATCATTCACCCTAGCGCCCACTTTGTAGCACATTAAAGATCTTTTTCCTAATTTAATTTTGGAGGGTCTAGCCAGAGTGCTGACAGCATGAAAAAAGGTTTTGTTTGTCTTTAAAAATGGCAACCAACTTTTTCTGAATTGGCTACCACTTTTAAGTATTTAGGAGCCAAGTGGCTATCAGAAATAAAAATTAATTTCACACCCTGTAATGCACAGGTATGTTTTGAGATTTAAGATACAAGTGATTGAAGCATCTTGTCAAAATGCAACACAGACACCTAGAACTTACCAAATGTGCCCTTGATAAGAGTTTCAATCTGTACGCTCAAGTTTGGCTTCGGATCCAAAGGCGGGGAATTGCCTTTTACTATGATTTCTTTCTTCACCTTGTCAATGACATCCGTCAGGCGCTCTAAACAAACAAGAACACAGACTTTTACTTTACAATCAACTACGCCTTGAGCAACAAATATTTAATGACATGAAACACAAGCACGTATGTACATTTACATCTAGAGTGGCCTGTGTAAGTAGCAAGATTACTTCATAACACCTGAATACTGCAGCTTGTCAGTAACAGGTTGTATAAACTGCATTAAAAAAATCTTCAAGAGTACAATGTTATTATTCATGTGCAAATTATGAAAACACTCAGACACAGCAAGAATTCTCAAGACATATGGCTTCTCCTTCTCCATGTCTGCAAAAATGACATTAAAGTTTCCTGAAATCTCTAAAACTTTTCATAAAAATGATAGCTAAGGTGATTTCAGAGGCACCTGAGTGACAATCATGTCCACAGTCTAGCTACACATCAGTTCTACTAAACCTAGCAAGAGTTAAGTCATCAATCATTTATATACCTTTATTTCCTACTTTAAAATTCTGTAGAACTAATGAAACATTTATGATGGATCAAGCAGAATGTTCACTGATCAGCTCAGATTACAAAAAGTCATTTATTACAATTCACATAACTTTCCACAACCTATATCAGCACTGGCATACCTTAGAATATCTGTTACATTGCATTACCTTTATTATTTATGTGTCAGCATTCTTAGATATGCACATTGACTAGGATGATTTTATTTAACCTGTAACCATTGAATACCTACTAGCAATACCTGATCCAATAATCAATATACATAAATTATTGTAAAAAGCAGGTGACCAGATAAGAAGATAATCTTCCAGAGAAGGTCAACTTGATATACATGTAACACCAAATTTTCTCTCTAGTTTCACAACAAATGTACAGAGAATCTGGGAAAATTTTTTAAAAAATTTTTTAAATAACTTTTAAAATTATTTTTTAAATATTTTTTAATTAATTTTTTTTTAAAACTGAACTAGGGAGTAGCACTCTGCAAACAGTAGTTGTAAAACTTCCTTACTCTCCAACGTGTTTTGTCTAACAATTGTAGAATTCTTCAGGGAGTTTTCCCAGTAAACACTACACGCTTGTATCTATAAGCCATAGTTAGCAGCTATACAGGGACCAGTGACCATAAAGGCTTGGCCTAACTTATGAACAGGAACAGGTGAAGTTGTGGAAAATTTGAAAAGTCTGTGGCCAAGGTGAGAAAAATATTTTGGGGGCCATGATTTTAGCTAAAGCTGTAATGGAGATGCGTTGGAGAATAAAGAAGTTTTACAATTACTGTTCGCAGAGAGCTGCTCACCAGCTCAGTTTTAAAACGATAATTTAAAAGTTATTTTAAAAAAATTATTAAAAATATTTAAAAAAAAATAATTAAAACATGAATAAAGAGATAATCTTGTTATCAAATAAGTCACCTCTGAAACAGAACTGCAACCATTCCAAGAAAAATTTTCAAGATCATGTTTACAAATCAAGAGAAAGTGTAGAAGATACATGTAAGTGTGTTTCTTACTTGACCACTGGATAGCTATCATGCTTGGTGGCAAACTTTGTTTAATATCAGTCAACTATAGAGGAAAGAGACTACTTTCAACTCACGTTGTTCCATTTCCAGACCCTGCAGCTTAACTTTATTTGCTTCATGCTGAGCTTTCTTCTTCAATCTGCAAGCCCTATGAAATGCAAAAGTACATGTGGTTATATTTTTGGTGCTACTGTATCTATAAAGCTAAAAATGCCTAAAAGTTATGGGCCCTTGTAAAGAAGTGTACATGAAAGTGGACTGCTGAAATATAGGTTGATACAGTTCCCTAAAACTTGATTTTTGAAAGTTGAGGATTGAGTTTCAGGTCAAGACTGTCAACACAGAGTGACACTGTAAAACAAAATGGCTTGTTGAAACAAAATCTTGCAAGAGGCATATTTTCATTTGCAATTAGTTTAAAAGCCACAATGAACAACCCATATTTTATTACCAACAAGCACAGTAAAATCAACAATAAAACAGCTACATACTAAAAGTGTTTGTTACTGATCCTTTCAAATTTATGGCCTACTCTACAGATCCAAAAAACCAACATTAAGTGAAAAGTGACAAAGAAAAAGGCAAAATAATGCATCTTGATCAAATTGTAGGTCAAACAAATAAATATAGCCAGCTTTGAGGGAAATTCCACCCAGTCTTTCAGTAATGATGATAACAGTAATGATAATAGTATTGATAACAGCAATATTCGAGATAATAATAGCAATCAAATAGTAATTATAATACTCCTCATAATGATTCGTTGCATGCCCCTTTGACAGAGTTTCTCCCAATTATTTTGCTTCTTGTGTGATGGACAAATAAGTGTATTACTGTGACCTGACAGTTTTGCCCATATTGGGTGGTTATAATAATTGTTATTGCTACAGTAGATATAAATTGTAATATGTTCACAAAGTTTGCAAGAATTTACTTCAATAGTGAATTCATATTGCTACAACAACCTGTTTGTTAAAATTATGTCAAGTGCTGCAGGTTAAAGCTTTTATGTGTACAATAAGTCAGGAACATTCACCGCACATAAAATCCTTTAAATTTATCAGTTTTGGCCCTTAATAACGATTTTTTCAATAACTTCATTTCTAAAAATCAAATTCTTGGGTTCTGCATTTGTTCCAGACAAATACCTGAAAATGAAAGTACAAAAAATTCTACAATATATAAAAGAGCAAAGATTTGAAATATTAAAAAAAAAAAAAAAAAGAGATAAAAGAGGAAAAATTTAAAACATCCATGGTCAAAGTTCATAACAATATCTGTAAAAAATTAATTTTTTTTTATTTCTTCAGCTGGCAAACAGTTGGAAAATCTGTGAATTTTTCTTATAGCCAACCAAAATGATAAACACTTCAACCAGAAACTACCCTATATTGAAATCAACAATTTGCAACCCCCTGGTAACACCAGGTCTTTGCCATATGTGGACATTAAAAAGTGAAATGAAAATGTGGTGACCTTATTGTAGAACAGAGTGTGGCTACCCTTAGGTACTGTAATATAAAATGCGTTAAGACAAGTGATGCTGTCTGCATCATTTCAAAGAATCAATTATAAATAAAAAACAGAAGGAAGAGAAAATCCATTTCCAACCTCAACTGCAAAAGCAATATAAATGTTGCCCATGTTGGTATTGTTACATATAGCACACTGTATTGTTGTATGACATTTCCAGAAGGAATTAAAAGCACCAGTCCTGGTTTTATGTTCAGCATTCATGGTTTGTTACATTGTACATAATGCACAGGTATTACCAAGTAAACCATTGACTTAAAATAAACAATTTGATTGGCTACCAAACTTAACACAACATGCAGTATGGTTAACCAAACATTTCAAGTGTTGTCAATAATCACCCCCATCTATCTGCCAGAATTTCAAGGCAAAATGATCAAGAAGCTATATATTCCTTGCTGTTTTTCATAGTTTGCAATAAAGGAAAAAATCTAAAGTACAGCAAGGTCAGTCTGATTGTAAGTAGCAAACCAGAATGATATCATAAAGGTAGAAAGCAACAGAAACCTAAATTTGAACTCCAGAGTAGAGCATTTGGCAAAATTTATCTTACTTTGTTGTGAAGATAATCTGTATTAAAAAAGTGGCAGACGGTTTTAAATTTCATCCTCACTCTTTTTTGCCAGCTGGTCTAAATATATCTCTCAGCCAAAGTGAATACTGTTTAAATATAAACAAAATTCCATTACTTGAAATTCCCACAAATTCAAATATACTTGAACTTTGTGACAGGACCACAACAATAACACATCATGTTTACAATCATGATATATTACTTGTAATATTACAACTATGAAAATGCAGCCTAATATCAAGTTAACAATAGAGTTTTGTTTTCAAAAAAAATTTCAGCCGTGATTTTTTTTTTGGAAACTTGTCCAGTGTTGTGGAGTCTAATATCTGCTGCAGCTGCATTATTTGCAACAGATAACACTGAATAAATGACTATCTTGATTTTTATTTTTAATTTTGTCACCCCTCAACTTCGAATCACAAACCTGAATTTTTTAAATACATTCTACTAATTCTATGTAAGGAATCAGCAGGTTCAGGCACTTTGCTGAATTCCAATCTGTTCAACGAAAAAAATGTACTTTGCTGCCACTTCGCACAGAAAGTCAAGAAAATTTCATACATTGCTCACAAAGCTTGACGAAATGCATCGTGCACATAATCTTATATGTAAATGTTCGACCATAAATAGCGAGAACTTTTCCCCCTTTAAAATCCCTCCAACAAATATGTGCTTAGTTCATAAATACCAGTAGGATTTCACCCTACAGATGGACATATTAATCCTGTCAAAAAAGAAACTTCGACATTGTGAAGTTTTTAAACCCCGTCTAACAGTAGGAGACAAAATAATTTCAAATGTAAGGACATAAACAGATCGAAGTCCAATCACGGTATAAGAATAGCCTGCAAGTATTTTTCACATCCCACAGTAAAAACAACCTAAAACCAAAAAGTCGATTTCGACATTCTTCCATAATCCACAACTTCCGCGCAGCTGACCTCAAAGTAGACCATTTCCTTGTAAGACACTTAATTAAGAAATGTTGTCTGGCGAATTTGTGAGTGAAAGCAGAACCGACTTAAGGAAGAAAAGAAGAAGCGACAAAATTCAGTCCAAACTCACTGATCGATGTGTACATCGAATTAAGTAGCAAGTTTTGAAGAGACGATTTGCGTTGAAATGAACTAATGCTTGTACGTTGTACATTTACAAGCGAACAAAATTCAAGAGGGTTAACTTAAGCTGATTTTCCTTCATAAGCTAGCTCCGTGCAAAAATGAAAAAAATATGTTACCTTGATGCCAACTTGTTCTTCTCCTTTCTTGACTTGTTTCGAGCGTTCTGTGGCAACTGATGTATCGGCTTTAAGTCACCTATAACTTTGTTTAAGCGATCCAGCTCTCGGCTGATTTCTAGCAACTTTTTTGGATTCGGAGAAAGGTCATCTTGGTCTCCCCTACGACCTTTCCGATTTCTGGCTAATCCTGTACCATGCGAGTGGTTCTCTACATCAAAATCTTCATCACTATCCATGTCTTCATCCGCGGAATCGTATTCTACAGCAGGACTGCCCGGATCAGCTTCAATCGTGTCCCGATCGGCTACAATTCTCACATCCTCGCGCAGATTCGTTCCCTCTGAATATAATTGAGCTTTCATTTCCGCTGAAACTAACTTAGGCATTTGATTATTTACTTCACTGCCCAACTGTTTATCAAGCAATACAACTTTCTGTGATGAGTTTTGATCGTCCGCGGACACTGATTTCTCACCCTCATTATTGCAATGTGGAGAAGCTGTCTCTTGGGTCGTAGTCCATGTTGGTTTGCTCGGACGTTTCTTCTCCGCTTCTTTAGATTTTTCAAATCTGTCATTATGTTCATAAAATAATAGAACAGGTTCTTGTTTAACTTGAGCAACCCTTCTTTCATCCTTGTCCGACGTGAGCTCTAAAGCGATGTAGCCCTGTGGCTTCCGAGTTGTGCAATCCCAAGGGGAAGAATCGCCTTCCATGCGAGTGGCAATGCGATGAAGACGCTCCATTTCGGGATTAATCAAAGGAGACAGTGAGCGGTGATCGTTTAGTTCGGCTAAAGTAGGCCCAGCAACTTTGCAGTCCTCGTTTACATCATTTCGAAAAAATTCCAGTTCCATATCAAAATCGCCTCCGAGCCCGCCAAACGGAGAAGAAGGCAATGTCTGAACGTTGTCCCAGCCGTTTCGTCCTCCACCTCCATTCGACTCTCCCCAAAAGCTCGTCCGCGAGCCTTCGAATTCATCGTCCTCGAATGGAGAAAACACGCCAAAACTTTCCTCACACGAACTCTCCACGTCCAATGGAAGCTGAAAAATAATCAATTTGGAAAAATTCGTTATGTAACTTATCAAACAACCCAGCTCGAGGAAAGAGTAGAACTTGCTAAAATGACTTTAAGTTAAGTGCAGATTATAATTTCAACATAATTCTCATTGAAAAGGAACGTACTGGAGTAAAATCTACTCCTTGCTGCATGTACTTCTATGGCTCACTAAGATAAACAGTACGATTTCAACGAAAATCAGTCAGGATTAGACTTTCCCTCGAAGTAAATTTTCTCTTTGTTATTGTTTTCATTGCAGGCCACGGGTGAACCTTGCATCACGAGACCTGACTTGTCAAACAGGAAATCACTGACCAATCAAATCGCTCACCTTGGCCATAACGCCCCGCCTATCACAGGCTATTGTCACGGTTACAGGACCAAAACACTCGAAAATTTCCCCTCGTTTCTGTAAGTCAGGAGTTTTACATTCGATTTCTACAGGTGCGATAGCTGAAATCACAACATTTTTCCCACGTGTATAGCTTGGAACTGGCAAGCGAAATAAGAGAGCTCAGGTGACAAATCCTGAAAATTCTGGTTTGTATTAACGTCACGAGTCAAATATAGCTGCTTCTAAGAGGTGACGACATTGCCCCTGAGCTTTGTTCATTGACCAATCAGAGCAGTTCTCACGCCACGATCATGACGTCACCATCACTCAGCGAAAAAATACGATACCTCGGTCACGTTCACGGACGTTGACAAACCAATGACTTCCGTTTTTACCAAGAAAGACTGAAGAATTTTGCAATTATAGAGATCCGTTAATGCTACATACACGTTGGTAAAGAAAACTGCCACTATCTCAAAAGATCCTTGTTCAATATTTTTCATTAGAGCAGTGTATATTTTTCAACCCTGTTGCAGAAGTGCTAAAATACGAAGATGTCAATACAAAATTTTTCTTTCCTAGATTCAATACGAATTATTGTATTTCTGAACAGTTTTTAATAACTTTCTCAACAATAGAAAACCACTAATGTTGTCATACCAATCATTCATGACATTACTCTACTTCTCATCAATGCAAGGATGGGTGAATTTCCCAGAAAGAATTCATGCCAATACTGATAATGCCAGTTCCTGTTTAAGATGAGGACTAAAGCCTAAATAATTTGAACAATTTTTGAAGTTGAAAATAGTGAGCAAGAGACTGTAAGAGAGGCCTGAAAAATTGGTACTCATTATTTGATAAATATTGGATTATAGAAGTAAGGCTAGTCGGGGAAGACATCAAGTCTTGCATTGCATCAATAAAATGACTATATGAGCCCCAGCATTTTTTCAAGTACATCAAACAGCTAATATATACACTTATAGAGATTCTAATTAAATCTCAGAATCTAAAAAAAAATATATTTCAAATTCAATATTACAGCTACGTTTCCCTTGAGAGAGTTTTAGTCTCAACAAATCCAAACATTTTTCCTTTAAAAAATATTCACTATGATAGTAGGTTTGCAATTTCCTGTTAAAATCTAATTTTCAAACTTGTCAACCATTACAATATAATAAGTCATGAATTTCTCATACTAAGCCTAATCTTATGGAAATGTCAGAAACCAGAGGATGAACATCAATTTTTCAAAAAACTAGATTAATCAAGTTACCTGCTTACTTTAATGTTTTTCTTACGACCAGCAAGGAAACTTTCACAACATTTATTTACAAAATTACAATTTGTACATCAGGCCCCTGCTGCCCTTTCTCATATTTTCTACATATTTTATATGTAGACATCAAAATGGTTACATGATCTTTGAGACTGTCTGGATTAGACCACTGTGTTTGTACGATCTCTATGAAGCTTCGATGGAATTTTGCTTTCATATTCATAAAGTTCAGTGTTGAGAACAACATTTTTAGAAATACTATAGAGTAAAAGGAAAAAATTTCCCTAATTTCCAGATTGAAAATGTCCTACATCTTAAATGCATTAGTGCCTAAGGCTTATCAGAGTTCACCTCTCGCATTTCAGACAGTGATTACCTGAGGTCAAAAAGTTGGAAATTAAGGGGTTGTCTGTTCGCTTTTTGGAGACAAAGTACAACAGAGTGTTTTGGATTTAGCACTACCCACAAATAGATTAGTAAGGAGGATCATAGGTACTATTTGGGAGTTTAGATCGCATCAAATGATCTTTTCTGGGTAATTTTTGCTATTATTACAATTCCTTCAGGGAGAATAGACTTTAAGAAGGCTTCTCCCATGTCCTGCCGACCTACGTTTATATAAAAGTTTGACCCCAAAAAATCCAAAATAATGAAAATGTCCCATGCAGAGAACATTTCTAGACTGCCAGCTTTGTTTATGGGAAGTAACAAAGAAACTGAAAAAAAAAACAGGCGAAATTTAACCATAACAATTAACTGTGTGAGTGCATGTGTAGACGTCTAACCTCATTTACATGGGAAAAAGTCCAGCAGGTAGGAGATAATGAAATACTGTAGTGTTGGGAGTGTGGACTTGGTTTATTTGGCAGACTGAATATTTTTTTGTAAAACTGTAAATAGTCTAAGAATAAAAAAAGATTTGACAGCAGCTGTGACAGAGATTGCCATTTGTATTCTTTGAACTTTAAATGAATATGCTTTTGGAAACAGCTGCCTAACAGCTAAAAATAGTGGTGTTGTCAAAATTAATACAATTATCACTGTAAAAAGGACAAATAAAAAAAGGAAAGATTTGAAGTATTGTCCAAAGCATGAAAAATATCTAATTTCTCAGATATTGGGATCAGAATCCCACCAAGTTACAATTTTCAGGTACAGCACCTCTTAAAAGTAAGTTTACAGTCCCTCAAATTGATCCGCAATTCTAAAAAACCCTTTCCTAGACTGAAGCTGAGCTACAGAAGCCATGTTCAGGCCCATACTGTAAGTATCATGCACAGTTTGTGCAGAGCATGAGAGAAAGTGAATATGGATATGTTGTTAAATAAAGAAAGATGCCACAATCAAGAGCCAAAAATGCATAATAATTACAAACTGAATTTTCTGCCAGACATAAATCAATAATTATTAATGTTAAGTGTCAGCTTTCAATACAACATAAAATTTGCCATGAGAGTCTACATATACTTTCGTCAACTTATAGTTTATAACCAACAAAGTGTTTCACTTGACTGAAAGCGCAACTTAATAATTCTTCAGAAACTAATAAGCTTACTTCAGTTGTCATTCTGTCTACTATATTTTCATTAGTACATTAGCATCCACATAAAACTACAGGACTTAAAATGTACTCGATGTCCTTACTGGAACCAAAAAATTCATCCAACCAACAGATTTTAGAATTTTTCAAAGTAAATTTAGAGAAGTTTTGAAAAGTAAGCCATAATCTTGCAACTTAATTCTTGCAATTCTATTATCATGATGGCTTATTTCATATTCTATTCAGGAAACACCCTCTTTAAACATCTGTGGCAGCTTGTTGCTTTTTTTTTTTTTTTGCTGTGAGGCATGATTCATCAAAAATTTGTGTCTTAGATATCTTCAATCCAGTGAGTGTTACTTATAACTACAATAATGTTCACATCTTTATTTGTAAAGATATAAAACTAAAATTAATTTGCTCCTAAAACATTTTTCAAGTAACATGGTGATCATACATAAGCTGATGAACAGCCCAGTTGAAATGTTTTAAACATTAAATTAACTTATCTACTGCATTTAATATTTTTCAACAACCTTTTAGAATTCAGGTTAACATGTAAGTTGAAAGATGTGTCTAAAATGATTATCTCAAATAGAAAAATGGGAAGGAAAACATCAAGACTTTGAAATTTATTATGTTTTTTGTTCTTTTTTTCTAAATTTGAGATCATGCACACATTAGCACTTTTTGGTCAAACTGATAATTGCATTTAGCTGTCCATTAGAGATCTTCTCGACAAATGCTGGAGAAAACAGGCCATCTATCAAATGCTTGCACTCATCAGCCAGAACCCTTCGTGAAGCCATTTCCAATTTGATAGATTTATCAATCAGTTCTAGGACACAAATGGCATACAATGTCTAATTATCAGAATACAGTGTATAGTGAATATGAAAGCAATCTTTACAGCAATGAACACTACTTGATATGCAGTCATGAAAATAACACCTGAAAAAATTCAGGCCTGTACAGGATTTGAACCCATGACCTCTGCGATACCAGTTCAGTGCTCTGCCAACTGAGCTAACAAGCCAACTGGGAGCTGGTCATTATGCTGGTTCCAAAGAAACCCATGAAGTCATGATGAGAAAACAGTGTACAATGTTAGAATCCATTGGGACTCACATACAACTTAGTTATCTTATGTAAGTTGTGAAGAACTACATGTACTTTCACTACATGTGCCTTTGCTGTAAGCCACTTTTTCAGCTGCTGTTTCAAATCAAAATTTCAATGGTCTCCTGTTATTACTCACTTTTTCAATTGGTTGCAGTGTATGGTTTGTGGTTGTTTAAAGAAAAAAAGATCTGCTTTTCAACTAGAGCTGTATATCTATGCTTCTCAACAGAAACACCAATGAACACTGTAATGTCAATTCACGTTTAAAGATCTCTCAAAATTTTATTCCCATTTGAGAATGAGATAAAAGGAGAGTGAATACCAATTTAAACATTTAAGTAACCTCTGTCACTATTTTTACACTCAGCTGCATTCACAAGAAGCAACTTACAAAAACTATTAAATATTTCTGGATTTCTAGTTATGTCTATGGGGAAGGATAAATGTTCATCACAAGTAGATATTTAAGGGACAAAGTAAATCTAATGGGAGAAATTAAAGAACTTCAGAGACTGGGAATGTTGTTGGTCAGCATCAGTATAAAACAGGTTCTTTTTTCCAAGAAAAGTGAATATAGTAAAAAGATTTGACAGCAGCAATAACAGTGGCTGCAATTCTCTTGATCAGTGAACTTTAAACCAAATATGCCATTAAAAACAGCTGCCTCACAGCTGAAAAACTTAAGTGTAAAATAAGCATTTCTAAAATTAACGTCATTACTTCAGTAAATAATAATTAACAATAAGATTAAATCACACATAGTCTTAAGTAAGGGAAACTCATGCAGCTTATCACAAGTCAAGTCTTGTTGCCTGCCTTACTGCATGTCCTACTGCATGCCCCTATCTACTGTAAGTTAAGGGGCTAGTCTCCCACTATCTCAATTTCCTATCAGCCAGTTTTTAGCTGCTGTTTTAATTCAATTGTTATCTGTCTTGTTCAATAAGCTACTTCAATCTGTAAGGTGCACTGCAGTTATTTATTGCTTTGTTACCCTAAGTCAGTTGTCATCTACATAAATCACAGACCAAGAACAGCTGAACCTGCACCAAATTAAGACTAAAAGCATCACCCTTTTTATTTCACCATGCTTATATTTATAGTACCAGAGGAATCTTATAAGAATAAAAAAAAAAGAAGTCTGAAAACAAAGATTTTTATTGTAATCAATAAACTTATAAAAGGAATAATGCTTGCTGCAAAAGGCATAAAATTCCCTGATAAGTTCTCCCATTATCATGAAAATATACCTATTTCTTGGCTTCCACTTTAATTTTTTTAAATTAAATTTAAATTTACTTAAGTTTATCTTGGTAGCCTGATGAATACTACACATTTTCCTTGATATCTCTCATAGAATTTTCTGTATACTTGAATTTTTTTCCATACAAAACTACAGAAGTGACTGTTTTGCATTCCAGAGAAAGGGATGATAACTTTTTGATCCACAATCAATGCACTTCAGAGCATTCCTTGATTTTTGCAAAGTGAAAATGCGTTTGCCACAACTGTCAATAAGATATATTCAAAGATTTCTTGAACAACAACTATAGTGTATATAGAGAGGTGTTTATGCATTCTCAGTGTACGAAAGCACTCTGTCTTTTTGCTAGATGATTTGTACATCACATGTTTTGTTCCATAAAACCACTTGGACAGTTTCTTTCTGATTAGAGTGGATGGTTTTAGCATCAGGTGCACCACCCATTTCTGCTGCGAAACACTTTGACAGACTGGCTATTAGGTTAAAATTTTAACCCCTTTCATAATATCTCTAACATTTTGTTGTCAACCATTTTTATAGTTCAAGCTATTCCATGGATTGGATTACCTAAGAAGCAGAATAATTTAGTGATCCGTTTGAGCTATATGACAAAACTTTACCACAGTTTTACATGCCATTCACTGTCTGTTAGCAAATCATCAGCTTAAACCATTTTCACAGAGAAATGTAAGACTATGATCACCTATATGAATGTGATAAAGCACAAAAAAAATACCTTTTGATTTCATGAGAAAAAAATAAACAAAATATCTACAATGGAAGAAGACTGCAATATTTTGTATGGTTTGGCATCTTTTTCCACAAGTAAACAGATCAGGCAGGCAAAGTATGCTCCTATATATATTTTTGAGGGTAACCACACATTTGAGAAAGCAGGACAATGACAACTTGGCATAGAAAAATTAGCTGAAAAGTGAAGTGGAAACAGTACTCTCAAGAAAAGTGAACCTTAGTGATATAGGTTGCAGGCAGGTGAATGAATGATTGTCCACATGGATAAACTGATAAATGTCTTGAAAAAATAACAGAATATCTGTCCCAAAGACAGCCTGAAAAAATGTCACAAAAAAATACCATCACAGCCTTACTAGTGGAACAATGTTGCCCGAAATACTTAATTGTTGAAAAAAAAATCACCAGTGAGTAAAACTCTCTTTAAGTGAGGATAATTATTCCTGTTTTTTTTTTCTAAACCTACAGAAGACTTTTAAATTTCTACCAAAAATGTACAAGTTTTTTTTTATGTTGAGGTATAAGTTTGGTTTGTGAATCATTAACTTAAATAGGCCACATCATGACTTGCCATGGCATAAAAACTACCCTTGCACGTTGTTATTACTAAGCAGTTTTCAGTTTCTTTGAAGAGGAAATTCGTCCACTTCCCCACCCACTTCTCCCCAAAAACAAAAATCGCCCACGTCACACCACCCATGCACCACAGCCTTACAGGTGTGAACATCGGAAAATGCTTTGAAAATTCTATAAAAATACATTTTACGTGAAACAGCTCGACCGAAGACAATAATACATCCGTACAGTATAGCTGAGAAAAAATACGTTTCTTTTAGTCAAACGGCGCCACGAGGCGATAAAATCAAACTACGACACAACACACGTCATTGCGGTCTGTACAACGCTACTCACCTCCTTGTTTTATGTGCTTTTAACTTGCTGAAGTGTTATTCTTTCAGTCGATCTTTTTGTGAAAATCAGCCATGTGATTTTGTTCCGTACAGTAAAATGGTTGGAAAAGAAAAATTTCAATCGGTCTGATCAAAGTTAATCACTGACACCGACATCCATTGAAATCGACTTTCTGACACTCCTAAAAGCGCCAGCATTAGCTAGTACCAGCGGAATTGAAAAATAAGCTTTTTGCTCATATAAAACTCCATCAATTGTCTTTACTTCTAAAACTTTTCCTGGGTGGATCAGAGAGAAGTCAACACACAAAAGAATGGGTGTGGTAATCATCATCTTCTCAGCTTTATTTGTCTTGGTTAAAAAAAAATAAAAACCGAATTAAGATTCGAACCCTGGTTATACTTACATATTTGACAATTTGCTGGGTCTCAATACTGGACCTGGACTAGGGGACGGGGAACACGGGACAAGAAAGTGACGCAATCGTGGGAAAAAACAAATACGAAACGCAGGGACGCGAAACATGGAACGTGAAAATTTAAGGATTGGAGATTTAGAACAAAGAAGTGAGCACAGAATTAACCTAGTCAAAAGAAAAACAATACATCTGTATTTCCTATTTTTTTACTCATGAATTTCGGTATTAATGAATTAGTTAATTCGAGCACCTCTTTTTCATTTGTGACACATATATACGATCATTTCAGAGTTTCGTTTTTCTATAAGTACAAGGGAAGTTCACACGAGAGTGCGCAAGGTTAAACATTGAACTTTGCCACAAGAACCATTTTTGTTTGTTAAAACAATGGACCACCACAGCTCACTTCAACGGAGAGTCGGATTTAGACCTACCCACCTCAATACTTTCCTCCAAGGATCCGGTTTTATCAAAAAGTAACGAATATCATCCGAATACACCACCACTCCCATGAAAGTTGCTGAAAGAGGTTCGGCGAAACTTATTTGCTTACAGCTTATTTAAAGCTTCACACCCCTACACCAGTGTGAATTTTCTCCGTTCTGTTCTCTATACTTTTCCTGAGTTGCTGAAAGGAGAATTTGTTGAACAATCAAGAGCTTATTCAGTTGGTGATCATTTCCTTTATTATATTCTCGTGACCTTAATGTTCAACTCAACGTGGTAATGGAAGGAGATCTTAGATGCTAGTCACTCTTAGGATTCAAAGGGTTATTGAGATCCTTTGTCTTGCTTTAGAAAAACAAAAATAATCAATAAACGGAATTAAATATTCTTGCTCGTATGTCACTCATCCTATTCCGGCCACGCCCCTTTCTCTTTCTTCTTGGGCAGGAGTAGCGAATGTACAGGAGTGGTCTGGGGACGTAACAGTGGTTTTAACCCTTGGTTATTCCGAACTTTTTCGGGAAACAATAAAATTAAAGCGAAATTTTTAAGGAAAAATGGAAATGAGAATCGTAAGTAACTCACATGAGAACAGCACCTTAAAAGCTGATGAACATCACATCATGGCTGATGGTTTAATGACACACTTCGTTAGATTCCACTTAATCTTGTAAAAGTGCATCGACAGCGGTTTCACAGATTGAAGAGGAAAAAATTTGGTCAATAGATGTACCGAAATACTTTAATAATACAGTCACTGTAGGCACTGTTCTGTATATAAGAGCATGATACTGTTGTGTACTGTACGCGGAATAACTATTGTACTCGAAGTTCTTCTTTTAAAATATCAATTCACAAACAAATAAAGGAACGGATAAGCTAGAGAGAAAAAAAGAACCACGACAGCTGCAGTCGGATTGCCTAATTATTTCATAGAATAATTTATTGACAGTTGACTATCATAAAACTCAAACTTGCGTATAATAAATAATCAACGGCAAATCTTTAAAATGGTCATTTCTTCCGCACTATTAAGGCAATTTGGAATTTTCAAGAGAAAAGAAAACAAGAGAAATACCACAAAACGAGCACTTGCCGAAACACCACTTTGCACCAATTAAAATCAGAGACACGAACATGCGAAACTTCAGCGAGAAGTTTCCCCGAAACAAAAACCTCCTCGCAGAACTTTTAACTCCCTCACTTTCAAAGAGCACAGTTCATTTATGAAACGCCTCCACTCCTTGCGTTTATCAGAGTAAAAATATTGTATTCAGTAAAATGGAAAACTCAAGGGCCAAAGTTCGAATGCATAAAAATGTAGTCTCACATTGATCTTTTTGCGTAGAGTAAATAAATTTTAAAAAATGTTTTTCCCTCGTGGTTTGAGTTTTCTCTATAGCCCTTCTTTTTTATCTAATAAGTTCCTATAAGAATAATTCATTTGTTTTGTCGTTGGACAAAAACGAAAAAAGACGAGTTTGTCGTCACAAATTATTTCCCCAGAAAATGTCATGTCACTAAGAAACATCTCTGACTTCTATCGCGAGCTCCAGCGACTCCAAAGAGTGGCACCGCCAGCATAATCACTACTACTACAGCCTCGAAGCAACCTTAAGAAATTCAAGGACTAAACGGTATCTTAAATCAGGGCCGCCTTTGATTCAACATACTCCACTGCTTTAGTCTTGACATTTTCTATACTGAGTGCGTCACCGTACTGCCGCTCAAAGTCCAGATACCGCTTGAAAAAGAGCTTCATCTTTTTCGAGGACAGATTGATGTGGATAACTCTTTCAAAAATTTGCCTAAAACAACAAAAATAAATAAATAAATAAATAGATACAACGAGATAAAAGAAAAAGGAGGTTACACAGTTTTAAAACTTCGTAGAACCGTCATTCAAGAGCGCATTTAAGAGTGTATTTACCATTCCCAAAATAGTGAAAGAGATTAAAATATCATAACACTTAATATTTTTTTTAAATAAAAAATTACACGATGTTGCTGGAACAACAAAATGAAAAGTTAAATGACCCTTTGCTAAATTACCAAGTAAAGCCTTGATACTCATCTGGGTGCTGATATAAATTTTCTGTTTGGTTAACCCTTGAATTACCATGACTGACCAAGAGAGAATTCCTCCTTACAATATTAAGCGGACAAGTAATGAGAAGAAAGAAAATATCAATTTGGGAACTATCAGTTGATCCAATACCAAATTCTCCGAACCAGAATCATAAAAATTGTCTGGAGTCAGTAAGGAGAATCACGAATGTGATCTTCGGAGTGAAAGGGTTGAACGATGTGTAGTTTTCATTTTAAGGCGCAATTCTTAAGTTGTCCCAAGGTAATCTCTGCAGCACAACTACAAATTTTGTTCATCATAAAATGTGAGAACCGAGGTTCTTTTTCGTACCTAACAGGTTCAATGTCTCCTTGTTTGATCATCATATCCAGATACACAGACCACAGGTCGCTCCTTTTTGGATAGTTGGTCAGAATGCTCTCGAACATTGTCTGCCCTCGCTGTGGCTCACCATATTTGAATTCATGCAGGGCGAATTGGACTATAGTTTCGATATCTGCAATAAAAAGACCACAACAGAGTAATGAAGAGGCAACAATGCGACAAACAAAAAAGAGCAGCCGAGTGATAAATCTATCACATTGCTTTCACCTAGAGCGATGGTTTTACAAAATCATCTTTGTTTCCAGAATTCTATTCAACCTTGGGTGGTTATTTTGTGGCTTTGGTAATCAGGTTTAGGTCTGGTCCTATAGTCAGCATTTTACAACTTTTAAAATCCGCATTCCGCCATTAAATGACAATTTACATCAAAGCATCATAGCTATCCTGAGTCACATAAGCATAACATATTAAGTACCTTATTTAAGTCGAACCTCACTACAAAGGCCACCTTGACGACAGAGAAAAGTTTCCATTGTACAAAGCTGGCCTTTAGAGGGAGGCAGAGGTGTAACAGGACACATGAAATTTTCAGAGCCAACCACTTTTTTTTTTCGCCTTTTAAAACGGAATCCTTGATAAATGCTTTAATAAACTGTTGTCTCTATGTAGTTTTTATCTACCTCACCGTTTTTGTATTTTTTTTTAGTCTCCTTTGATTTGAAGGCAGATTCGCACTTCCAAAATTATGACTCAAAACATTGCGCCACTACTTTGGGTGCTCTACTGTAGAACTTTAGATCAAGCGAACTCATTCTATGACAAAAGATGCAACACACTTCCTCCCCTCGTCTACCAATCCAAAACATCTTTAAACCACACTTGACTTACGTTTCCTCTTCGGCAGACTTTTTAGACTTCGTTGCAACAATTTCCTGCCCAAGTCAAGCTTTCCTTGCTTCATGTAGAACGAACTGAAGCCGATCCACACCTTTTTACTTTGACTGAACCGCTTCACCATCGTATGGTACAACTGCTCGGCCAACTATAAGAGAAATATCACTGGGATTGTAGCAAAAATGCGATACTGAGATACAACCGTGTCTAATGCATGCTACTATCAAATATCATTTCAACGATTACTACTTGGTAAAAAATTTAGTTGTTTTGAAGTTGTTGTTGTTATCGCTTATTATTATGACCATGCGCTGTTACATGCTTCGTTCCCAGTCTTACCTCCGTTTTATCCGTTCTTGAGTAGATACCAATAAGTTGAAAGAACACTTTCTTGGGCTCATTTTGTTGTAGGGCTCGCTCAAACACCTTAACTAAGGACTCTTGCGTGCCGTAAAGGTTTTCTAAGTTCATTAGGGCCACCCACACGTTTAGTTTCTCTTGCTCTTCCCTAAAAGTGAACCAAACGAAAGCGAAATTTAAACGCACAAGTTTTTTTTTTAGCCTTGGGCCATTTTTACGCCGTGCAAAATTACGCTCAACTTCTTGTGGACAACAGAGATGTTACCGCGGTAAAATGGTGATACGTAAAAGAGGGAACAGAGGTAGAGAAGTATGGAAAAGACAAACGAGATCGAAGACCGCACTCGCGAAAAAAGGCGTAAGTAGAGCCTGGAGAATTTGGTGTCCTATTAAGATAACACTCTCCAGCCGATACCTTGGTCCATTCTTATTACATCTTGTCAGGATAATCTTCTGATATAGTAAGAACAAGTTACAGGTTTATCTCCTCAGGGAATCAAAATAGGTTAATTTGATGGTCTGCACCGAACGTAAGAGACTCTAGAGACTAGGTGGCCTCACTGAGATGTATTTTTCGTTTAAATTGCGCAGTGCCTCATGGTATAGATGTACTACCTGAATGATATAGTTTTCAATGCTCTCTCGGCCACCGTTCGTGCCTTATCGATGTCTGTGGTATGAAGGTGATACGCCATGTACTGCAACCACACTACTGAGTTGTTAGGCGATGATAACACAGCGCGATCGAAGTCCTCGGCAGTCTCTGGCAAGCGATCCTGATCTAAAAGCGATTGTTCCGTCTTCGAAAAATAAGAGAAAAAGTGAAAGATTTAACAAGATATACTGCATAGGAAAGAGAAATTTAGATTGAGTGTTGGGAAACTAACCGCCCCATAGTCAGATTGCTCCTTTTTGGATCGCTCTAATGAAAGTCAGATCACTCCATCAAAAAGTTCAAAAGTCAGCGACGTACAATCAGATGGATTTCTTTGGCTTTGTTAAACGAGGTTTGGAGCGAAGTAACTTCTCCTTCGAGCGATGTAACCTTTTCGATGGAGAGATCTGACTCTCACAGAAATGATTTAACAATTGGCGATCTAACTATGGGGCAAAAGTAACCGTAAACTAAAACCAAACTGATCACCACAACATGTCCTCAACAAAAAGGTCAACATAACAAGAACGTAACGAGAGCTCAAAGCAGAGATCTAAATGTGAACAAGCACTCGAGCACTGTTCCAGCTCATCAACATAACAAATCCATACACAAGCTAATTTTAGAGATTAACCTGTACTGGTGTGTACTTGATGATGAGACTTTACTTACAGTCTTCTCTTATTTCCATCACTTTACAAAAAGTACTCAGTTGCAATTTGCTCAAGTGACAGAATTACCTTGTATAAGAACTCCTCTTCGGCTTTCTTTGCTGCCCTCTTCTGTCTTTTACTCTTCTTACGAGAAACCTGAAGGCGCGAAAATGTAGGAAGAATTACCTCGCTGTTGAGTTAAGTCTGATCAAAGGCGAAAGTACACGCTGTCAGTGAACTTTTGATCAATAAGCTATTCACAAACGGTACAGTTACGCAAAAGTTGAACGGTAGAGATGGGGGATTCACTTTCACCTTACGCTCGATGTACCTCTACTTGAAATGTGAAAATAAAAGCCTCTCAATGTAACACCATCTTTTTCCTTCACGTTCGTTTGATTGTAGTCGGTATGCATTCAAGACTGTTTTACGGTTGAGCGTTCGTTTGATGTCACTATCATGGTGCGCATTGAATACTGTTCCAGTTTGTAACAAAGGGTAATATTGAGAGAAGACAATCATCAGACAAAGTTCCCCTCTACATGGCATTGACGACTGAAAATCAAGATGGGTCTCTTTAAAACACATCATGGTACCATGCTGTGTACACTCTCAGTCTCCTCAGTACTCAATAGGGCTTAATTATGCAGGACTTCAGAGTAATTGTACCAACGGTAAAAAGTGGATGGGGTGTGCGTCAGAATCCCAAACTTGGTAAAGTCGGTTTACTACCTAAGGCGAAAGGGATGAGGGTCTATGATTAAATAAACATTAGCACTTAACTATATTTTAGCTAACATCAGCATCACTGATTCAGCACACAAATATGTTGGGAGCGCAAATTTTTCATGAAGCTAACGCAGGAAAGCAAGCTTCGTGCTGTGAAGAAAATACACTGGAAGAATCTAGCCTACTTGGGTCAATTACCAACCAAAAACTTTAAATCAAAGATCATTGTAGCATTTTAAGGAAAGTTGATTGCTCAACACACCTGTCCACTGGCTTCAGTTTCACTCTCGCTGCTCTCATCATTGTCGTTATTATCCTCATGTTGTCTCTTTTGTGTCCTTTCTCTATAATTTCCGTCCTCGCTCCAGTCAAATCCGCTTGAAATCTGCAAAAGAAACAAACATTATTTCAAAACAACACTCAATCTGCGACCAACACCGCTAAGATTGGTTGCAGAGTGGTTATTATCAAGAGATGGGATTAATTTTTGTTAACCACTCAAAACATTCAAAACAAAAAGAAGAGATCTTATTTGTTTAAAGAACATCACAGGAAACAATTTAAGCACAGATAAAAAAAACGAATACCTCCAATCTTGGTACTCCATTCGATTTGTGCGAATTTGCGTCGTCAGCCTTGAATATCAAAATAAAGGGAAACATTGTGATCATGAAATATCATTCCAACAAGAATACAGTAAACCCAGCGGTCAAGCGTTGGGCATGCGCAAAGAGATCAAATCTTCCGACCACGCGCCAATTTCCCGCCCAAATTTTTACTAGCTAAAGCCACTAATGACTGAAGAGTAGATGGGAAACTCTGCTTCAAATGCATCGAAGCTTTTAACCTGTTTACATGTTAGTGTGGCTGATTCGTCAAAATCCCGTTAAGACTTTGTATATTGTCTGACCTCTTCATCTGAAATGTTTCCAGATGTCTCGTCTTCTTCTTCGCTTTCACTTTCTGGGCTGTCCTCGTGATCGGAATCTGTGAAAGGCAAATCATAAAGCAACAAGGCGCTTTTCGATCGAGTGGCGTAACATCTTAACCATAATATACCCTCGCTAATAATCGGCCTTCCTCTCTGATACTTAAGAGAACATTGTTTCTAAAAATAGGCCCCTCTCTCTCAAGCATGTCTCGTGTCTGGTAGCTGGACGTCCTGTAAATTAATAGCTCGTGGGTTCTTTAGAGTGTTTGTGCTACTACAGTGCCTCTCTAAATTATTCGGATTTGGCTTTAACCGCCCTTTATTTACCTGCTTTGAGTTTCTTTAAAATAACTTCTGCTTCATCATCTGATCCTTCTTTTGTTTTATTCTCTTTCTCCTTCTTTCTCTTCCTTTTCTGTTCTTTCTTCTCTTTGTCTCGTTTCTCTTTTTCATCCAAACGCGTTGGTTTTGGTGCTGGGTCGGGTCCACCGACATCTCTCCCTTTCAAAGACAACTCCAGGTGTCCTTTGATCAGGTCAATACTACGTCAAAAAAAAAATTGTATGAAAATTACTTTTCATTCTTATGCAAACTACAACTCATTTCCCCTACAAACGTTTAGCATTTACCCACAGAAATTCTTTCCTTTGTTAACCCTTTACACCCCAACATCAGTATGCATATTCTTCATACTGTTCTCCATATATTTCCAATGAGGCTGACAAGGAGAATTTGTTTAACAATCAAGAGCTGCTTGACTTGGTGATCATCTCCTCTAGTCTCATGTCTGTCATGTTTGATTCAGGGCTGATATAGTAAACAGAAATTAGACGACAGTCACTCAAAGGGTTATTACATGTAATTGTTAGCTTCTTACTCGATAGTGTCACACCACGCATCGCCAAGTTTAAACTTTGCACAAAGCTAACGATCCAGGGATTCACTCTGTTCGCGACGCGTCAGAGAAAACTGCTTCCCTGTTCAACACTTAAGCTTGACTTCCTTTTAATTTCCCCTTTAAACTCTATACATGCACTCTATGTTCAGTATGTATATTCTCCATACTGTTCTCTATACATTTCCCAAGGTGCTGACAAGGAGAATTTGTTTAACAATCAAGAGCTTCTTTAGTTAGTAATCATTTATTCTATTCTTGTGACCTTAATGTTTGATTCAAGGGTGATAATAATAATAATAATAATAATAATAATAATAATAATGATGATGATGATGATGATGATGATGATGATGATGATGAAATTACAGTAAAACTAACTAATCACTACGTACTCTATTACATAAAAAATTCCTTGAAAGTCTTAAAAAGGTTCTATAATCTTTACAGTTTCTAATAGATTCTGGTCAATTGTTAAATAGCTTCGACGCGTTATAAAGGAGATAAAGAGAAAAAAGATGCTAGTCTCTGTTCGGTGTTTAAGGGTTAAGCGACATCGCTGACTTAAAAGCTTTGGTCACGAGAATAAAGGAAATGATAGCCACCTCAGTTAAGCAGCTTTTGATTGTTAATCAAATTCTCATCGTCAGCGCCATAGAAAATAGAGAACAGCGTGGAGAGGATGTACCATGGTGATGTCGTGTAGAGGGTTATTCAAGACGCCCAAAAATCATACCCCGTTTGGCGACACGTGAATCATAAGATTAACAAAGCGATAGCCGTCCTAAGTTGATTTTTCAGCGTGTAACCGTATCACCATATGTCCATACCTTTTCAAACAAATTACCTTAAAACTTTGCCTTTAACTAACTTTCCCATAGGGAATAAAGGCTTCCAGTTCTTCACAAAATACTGCGATAAGTTCTTTATTTGTACCCTGCCAACAATGTGATGGGCCAGACTGCAAAAGAAATTTAATGACCGGTTACACTTTCATTCTCAGTATGAAGAATGTTTTGTATATCACTAAAATCTCTTAACATCTTTTCAATTCCAACTTCCCTTTTTGCAGCAGCCAGATATGTAGTTTTCGAGTCTTTTCCATCCAGATTTAATAACTTGAACTATTTCATTAGAATCTCGCACAATGTTAGCATTCTCTTTCAAACGATTGTTACATTAGCATCTTGGGGACTAATAGAATTCTCTTTCGATCGATTATTTCGTCAGTATCTTGGGCACTATAACATTCTCTTTTGATAAATTATTTCGTGAGTATTTCATGCATTAACGTATTTATTCGATTGAACGCCGCGGCGAAACATGTCTTAGTGCTTGTCTAAAAACTAATTTTATATCGTTCTCAATCATCACAATTTGCGCACCATTAGAATTCTCCATTGATCGATTTTTACGCTAGCATCTCGCACACCATAAGAATTCTTTTTTGATCGATTGTTAATCTAGTATCTCGCGCACCATTAGAATTTTTTTTT